AATGGTTCAGAAACCAACTCAATTGTGTCCACACTTAACTGCATGTGGTTGAATCAGTTTATAAGTACTATACAGTGACCTTCACCCTACAAGAGAAGGAGAGAGAGAGGAAGGGAAAGAAGGAAGAAAGAAAAAGGGAAAGGGAGAGAAAGAAATTGAGGGAAGTGAACTTAAGCCGGGGAGAGAGTGAGAGAGAGTGACAAAGGGAGAGAGAGAGAGAGATGGAAGGACAACAATTATTGATTCCAATACATTAATAAAACGTACAATTGATTTTTGTTTCCTGTCATAATTATGATAAAAGATAGATCACACCCATTCCATCCTAATGACTTACTGGTACAAAAACCAGCATCACCTGGAACAACACACAAACAAACATCATTAATTAATAATAAAATATATCATATTATTATTTACCTATATTGTATTATACTGTATTAAAATAATAATATACACACATTAACTGATTGACCATGTTTATTATTAGGAGAAGAGACTGGAGAGGTGATGTGGAGCAGTTATAGTGTATCCCTCACTAAACCATCAGCAGGTCAATGTCAGGAAGTGATCAGTCAATTAAGGGACAGTCATCGGAACATTTACCTCCTTTACCCATCACCTAATATTGTATACCTATTGATGTCACTTGTACTAAAAATAAAAACAATAAAGTGGGTTAGTATATACAACACTAAAATAACTAAAGATGTCATCCTCTTATTGTCACACAAAATAACAAACAATACTTCATTACAGATACTAGTAATTGGTGGTGATTCCATCAATGATGATGGAGTCATTGCACTAACAAAATCATTAATTAATAATAAAACAATTACTCACTTATATCTTCATAAAAATCCTGACATCACTTCAACCAGTGCTCAGTCACTAACTGAACTTTTACTCCACAACCACACACTATCTGACCTTTGGCTCAACAGTACTAACATTGATACTGATGGAGTACTGGTACTGATGGAATCTCTCAGGACCAATAATACACTAAGGGAACTATATGTAGACAAGAAACATAAACAAACTTGTTATTCTTTACCTTATTATAGAACTATTAAAAACAGGCTAGGCTTTTTGTAATTATTTCATATAAATATTAGCTTATTAATAAATAATTTATATTATTAAATGGAGAAAATAATATTAAAATGTACGTGATGCCAGATTGCCCACACTCCTTATGCCAAGAACACATGTATGACAAAAAGAGACAGAAAGAGAGAGAGAGGGAGGGAGATGGGGGATGAGGACAACCTTTCATTAGTTGAGGAAGCTAGGGCTTGAGTATAGAGGATATGCGTGCTAAGTATATTCATAGCTTTTTAGTACCGTATATCTAACCCACACAGTAAATTGGCCGCCATGTTGGACGTCAAGTTTATTAAGAGTTCAATGGGGGAAAACACATTTTCTTGCCTTGCTACCTTCTTGAGGCCTTTTTCGGAAGCTTAGAAAGCATCCTGAGGATCTAATGGGGTCTAGTAGTCACCTGAAAGATTGCTATCAAGAAATACAGAGCGGTTTCCTGGTACCAAGCCTTTTTCTATCATTTCTCCATTGCTGCCAATGGAAAGTTGACGTCCAACGAACTAATTTTTTTTCTTGAAAGTTATTACGGTATGCAATGAATACATTTATTTTGCAATGAATATACTTAGCACGCATATCCTCTATTGAAGTCATCCCATGCCTCAAGTTAAAGTTTGCTCAATATTTCACTCTCACTCTTAGACAACAGCTTACACATCTACATCTTCATACATTAGCTACATATAAAATTATCATAAATATATGAAGTATTTAGAAATCAATTCAAACTATAAGGGATTAGGATGACAATATATCTATGTGTTAATAGTCTTTCAGATTATAGTTATTCTATTGAATTTATTGTACATTGTGACGAGGTTGTCACAAGGTGGAAAACATGTCATGACAATTCCAGGTTTTTACAAGGTAATGGTGGGCGGGCTTTGTGGCCAGGTAGTGACCACCTAGTGACAACAACCTTGTTACAAGGTTGCTGCAACCTTGTTTTTTCTATACGGGTAGGTAGTATTCAGAGTTTGACATTTCATCAAAATGACCATAACTCAAAAAACTGAAGTTGGAATCAGCTCAAACTTCTTACACAGCACAAGGACATTAATCTGTATTAGAAAATATAATAAAAATTTGGGGAGATTTGGAGCCATAGTTTGAAAAAAACAATGGCTATGTATAGCCTTGGGTATTTTTCAGAATTTTGACATTTTCTTAAAATGGGAATAACTTCAAAAATTGAAATTGGAATCAGCTCAAACTTTGTACGCAACATAAGGTCATCAATCTGTATTTTAAAATGTAATAAAAATTTGAGTTGATTTCAGAGCCATTTTTGGAAAAAATTTTGGGCTATAATAGCCTTGTGTATTTTTCAAAATTATTATGGCTGTAACTTGAAAAATTGAAGTTGGAATCAGCTCAATTTTTGTACACAGCATAAGGACATCAGTGTGCATCAGAAAATGTAACAAAAATTTAGGGTAATTCTGGAGCCATATTTTAGAAAAACCATGGGCTATAATATAGCCTTGGGTAAAAATTCAAATTTACAAATTTATGCAGTAATTCCCAATTTCACTAAAATTTGTATACTAGTACACATATGCATGTATGTGAACATTTAAATTACCTCATCTTTTATTTTGCAACTCCATCATTTTCATCATCAACTTTGTTTATTCCCTGGATAATGTGATCTGTATAATATATAATTTTATTACTTTTTATGATGTTCTTATGTTGTGTAGCAAGTATGAACTGATTCCAATAAAAATTAGATTTTTATAATAGAGACACTGCAGTACATGTACACATGTATACATACATTATACATGTATAAATGCAATGAAAGAATTGAAATAGCTACTTGTACATTATAAATGTACATTTACCAACAGCAGCTGTTATGATAGTAAAAATAAGATTCCAAGGACCAGGTTCTATCAAAGAAGAATAGTATAATACTAGACTCTCTGTTGCTGTAAGGATACTGAATGTGAAAATGCACCTAACGACTTGACAGACGGTTTCTTTCTCATCTTCTGTCCTTCCAAATATCCACTCACCCACAGCAGCTGTTATGATAGCAAAAGGAATGATACAGATCCCAATGACCAGGTTATTGAGGAGCATGTTAGAGAGAAAGATGGTTGTTGGTTGCTTCCAAGTCTTTAGATGAGAGGCAGTGAGTATCAGTACTAATGAGTTAGTTATGAGTCCTCCAATCATCTCTGTACCAAACATAGCAGCTAGCAGTGGGCCATTGATGACATCACTTAGTGTGAAATTATCATTAATATTATCCATCATGAACCACTGTCTTTAATAAAGAGAGAGAGAGAGAGAGATAACCTATAACTGATGCTATACTAACGAGAGCACTTAAGTGCAGACCCTCGCCACAACATTTATGTAGGTTGAGCTATTTGTGTTTTTAATAATAGAAACTGTCTCAGTTTAAAGTAAAGACTTCATAACTGTGTGCATAGTATAATAACTTATAGTTATTATACAGGAATTCAGTAAAGTCAGTGGGTCAGAGAAAGAATTGATATTTGTATATATACATAATTGCACTATTATGTTTTGACTTATTATATTTTTTTAATTATGTAAAAGAGAAAATAAAAAACAATTTATCGGGCAAGATGTTAGTGCGGCATGTTTCTCCTTCAATGCATGCAGAAG